AGAAATGCGACACAAGTCTAACGTTGAGGAGCGCTCGCGCGGTACTGAGCTCAGACGGCCGCTGCATCTTATTTTGTAGTGATTTTGCGTTTACATTTATCGTATTTATTGAAATAATATAATAAATTTATGCTTTAAAATTATAATAACTTTGTTTCTTATGAAATAGTCATTAATCTGGCATAAATTTTGTTAAATAATATTGTTGTGGCTAAGAGAAATTCAAAGTTAACTTCAAGCAATTTTTGATGTTTTTTGGTTTGTAATATAATTGTTTTTCTATATTTAATCAGTGCTATTTCAAAATTTCGAGCTACTGTTTACTTTACGGCTATATAAGAGATATCATTCTATTTCTTTTATTTCGTTTGTTTTCGAACAGTAGCTCAATCGAGGACTTCAAAAAAGTGTCTTTGCGCATTTTATGGAAAACTTTCTCTGGTATTTTGGATTTAATTAAAAAGATGAGCAAAATTTCCAAAAAGTTGAGCCACTAATTTCTATACCAAGAGTTATTCTTCACTATTCAACAAGACAAAATTGTTAATTTGTTTTTGATCCGAGAAAAATCACGCAGAAATCACAGTTGCGATGTAATATGGCTCTTAAGAAGAAAATATTACGCAGGTGTTAAATTCTTTAAGAAAGTACCTACATTTTATTTTTGATTAGTCTGTTTTAAATGAAGTAGTCAAATCTAAATCAAATCTAAATCAAACTGAACGGGCATTAAAAATAATGACAAACTCAAGTCGATGGGTTAATTTGTTTAATTTTAGAATCTATCACGTTCAAGTGCGCTTGTGATAGTAATATATGATATTCGGTAAACTTTAAAGTCACAATTGATTTTGCAGCGAACCATGATTAGAATGATCAAGAAACATATTCAATAAATACCTGTTAAAAGATCGCAGTAAGCATCAAAGGCTTCCGTTACTCATTTCTCAAAAGCTTTTTAAAGGTTACATCTAACGCAGCAAGCGTTAGATGTGACGTTAATAAATTCCAATTAACGGCAAAGGTTAATTCAATATCTTGCAATAAACATTCACGATCGCAATCCCTATCAAATGTAAAGTTCAGGAATATCGGTAGTTACTCAAATTAGATGATTAGCTCCCTGATTTTAATATCTACATTCTTTGGTCATTTTGACGACCTCCGTAGCCGAGTGGTTGGCACGCCGGTTTCATCGCCATCTCTGATGTCCCGGGTTTACATCTCGGTCGGACCATCCGTATTAAATTATAGATAAAATATAAATGCAAGTGCAAGTGGCAACAACATCCTCAGGAGTTGTTAGGGCTTATACCAACAAGAGTGATAATAGTAGACAATGCATTATTTATTTGTCACGATACTGGTCACACTGTTTTGTATAAAAAAAGGGGAAAAAGTATCTATCATAAAAAATGTATTTTTGCACGTGTATTGTTTCTCGTTAATAAATAACTTCTTCAATATCAAATTTTGCTTTATTTTCAAGAACAAAGAGTACCTATTCAGCCAAGTTATACAATAAATAAACATAGTGAGTACCAACTAAGTCTATGAAAAAACCAGCCAAGTTGGTTTTTGAAAATGTGGGTAAAAATAAACATATATAAGCAGTGCAAATATGTGAAATACTTAGATATACGCACTTAGATATCAATAATCTATTGATCTTTTATTTTCATTTATACAAACTTTATCTTATAACAATCTGAATTGGCAACTGGAAAATTATTTTGAAGTATTTTTCTGTAAGATATATATCAATATAGCATTATAAATGCAATATTTTTGATATATAAGATTATAATATACTTTGTTTTTAGGGTTCCTTGACAAAAAGGAAAAACGGAACCCTTATTATGATCACTTGGTCGTCTGTTTGTCTGTCCATCTGTTACAGTTGCTTTTTGATTTATTTGAATTGAAATTTGGTACACAAACGCAAAACGGTGACATAAAGACGGACGCAAACAAATTTATAAGAAACAATTTTAGGGTTGGTTACAATAAAAAAGTATAATACTGATACAGATATTTATTAAAGAGTTTTGTCAAGACGATACTGATACCGATACGGCTAATGAATATTCTAAAAAAGCACGAAAATTGTAAGATTGAAACAAAAGACACGTCTAATTAAAAAATCACAGCCACTTAAAAAAATTAGAACTATTACAATTAGAACTACTAACTACTAATTTTCTTTGCATTCATCATCACCATCATCATCAGCCCTTTTACGTCCCAACTGCAGGGGCTCAGGCCTTCCTTATGGATGGTTAAGGAGGGTGGGCCACGACCCTCCACGCTGGCCCAATGCGGATTGGAGGGTTTTAACGACAGCAAATGCAACCGGGACCAACGGCTTAGCGTGCCTTCCGAAGCACGGAGTGGATCGAGATAATAATTTTTTGGTCACCCATCCCGTGACCGACCCTTGCGAAAGTTGCTTACCGACTACGATGGCAGGCCGTGGCGCTTATCCTCTACGCCACCGAGCTACTGTTGTTATACGTAAATCTAATTCATAGATTGGGGAAAAATTTATTCGCATTTTATATGAAAATTTAAAACATTTTTTAATAAAATTTATTTACATTTTACTAAAATATGTAGGTACCATTTTGTTCGATAACTTATTGCCATCTTTTAGGTAGAAAAATGATCCCATTCCTATAGAAATTTTAAGGCATCTCATAATAAATGCGATAGAGGTTTTCGCAGTCCTTGCGTGATGTTAAACTGACATTACTTCAGAATTCTATATTCTGAAGGGACCGAAACAGGTGGAAATCTGAAGGTGCAAGGTCAGGACTATACGGCAGATGTATTAACACCTCCCAGCCAAAATATCTTAATTTTTTATGAGTGATGTCTATCGTTATCATGTTGAAAAATAACACCCCTTCTATTGATTAATTCTGGCCGCTTTCTTACAACTTCTTTCTTTAATCAGTTGTTTGCAGTTGAGTTCAGAATCTATGGTTATGCCTGGCGGTAACAGCTCATAATGCATAATGCTCTTCCAATCCCAGCATACACACTGCATCACCTTGTTGCGAATTTTTAGCCACAATCTCTGAAGGCCGACCGACCTTTGACCAAGACCTTTTTCGCACGTTCTTGTCGTACGTTTGGTCGAATAGTTCGGTTTTATTACGCCGTAATAATCACAAATGATTAAACTGTTCATAGAAGCGAGGTAAATAGAAGAGTTCGGCTAGATTGGGCAGCGTTTGGGAAACTACGTCGAGTCTTTACATCGTCGATCCCGCAGTGCCTAAAGACAAAAGTCTTTAATCAGTGCGTCTTACCCGTTATGACATACGGAGCCGAAACGTGGACACTGACGGCACGGCTGGTCCACAAGTTGAAGGTCGCTCAGCGCGCTATGGAAAGGGCTATGCTCGGCGTTTCTCTGCGGGATCGAATCAAAAATGAGGTGATCCGGCAGAGAACCAAGGTTATCGACATAGCCCACCGGATTAGCAAGCTGAAGTGGCAGTGGGCTGGCCATATTAGCCGCAGAACCGATAACCGTTGGGGTAAACGAGTTCTTGAGTGGAGACCGCGTCTCGGCAAACGTAGTGTAGGACGTCCTCAGGCGCGGTGGAGCGATGATTTGCGCAAGATGGCTGGCAGGAGCTGGATGCGAACAGCCGAAAATCGAAATAGATGGCGTGCAATTGGGGAGGCCTATGTCCAGCAGTGGACGAATATGGGCTGATGTTGAAACTGTTCATTAGGTTTCTTTCAGTGAGCTCGTGAGGTACCCAAATATGTAACTTTTTTGTGTACCCACCTTTTTTCAAATGCACCAAAACTGTTTTGCAGGCAATCCTCAGTTTTTCAGCTACCTCGTAACTACTGATATGCCAATCTTGCTCCACATTTTCACAAAAATAATTTATTTTGTCCATAACAGAGCGACCAGGGAGACGGGCATCTTTCACATAAAATTTCTGGACTGTATATAAACCACAGAACATAGAGAGAGATATAAACGTTTGAACCAACTTTTCTAGTTCTCATAGAAACTGCACTAGGTATACAAACGATACAATTTCTTTCGCGGCCAGTGTTGCATGTTTACATTTTTTGTAATAAAATTTTATAATGTATCGAATTTCTTCTTAAAGAAGAATTCACTCATTTTGACAATTGAAAATCACACAGTTTCCAAATTTGAATTCAGAGTTATCTTCTTTTAAATGTAAACTTTTAATGATATTGTAACCAGCCAGATACAAAAAGTATATCCAGAAATATTTTATTACAAGTTTATGCATACTATATGCGAAAAGACTTTTTTCCAATCTAATAAATAAATTAATAAATTATTAAATTTATTTAATTAGATTTAGTACTTGGATTTTACAGTAAACGTAGGTCGATAAAAAATTAATCAGTAATCAATCAAAACAAATGAGACATTAATCTAAGGACATACAATATTTTTCTGATGACGTATATAATTATAACTATATCTAACATTGATTCAATCAAGATCGATATTACTTATTACGTATAATCTTAATATTATCTCTGCAATAAGTATAAAAGCAACGCGATTATTAAGGCACTCATAAAAGTACACTTCTTTAAGTGTTTTGTGTAGAAGGTGAGTAATATCTCATTTGAAATAAATTCCATATAGTCACACAAAATTAATAACTTAATTTTTCTCAAAGAAAAAAATCTCTTAACAAAATCTTGTTATCTCATTTTTTGCGTGTAGGTTCCGTGATACTTTGATTAGTTGTTAAATTATTTTTATAAATAGGTAAATGAAATAATATTAGATAACACCACATACATTGCTTAGATCCCGCGTATTATAGAAATATAATACACCCAGACTAGAGACCACATAGTAAAGTAAATTTTCTATATTAACCAGACAAGAATTGAAACTACGATCTCAGAGATGGCCTTAAAATCGATATGTGTGCCACTTGGCCACGGAGGTCACATATCTTTTTCATTTATTTGTTTTATTACTCAATTTTACTATTATATTGTTACCAGAGGATGATGTAGCTTCCCTTAGGTGTAAACAATTTAATCTGTCCATTTGATAATATTAGGATGGATTTATTTATATGTCTTTATTGTTCTAGCCTTCCATAAAATACAAAATGAAAGTATTAGCAGTTGTATTCGCTGCTCTGTTGGCTTATGTAGCGGCTGACGTCCAAAGAAGCAATGGTAAGTTTAAATATAAAATATTATTTGATTACAGACCCGCTCTGGGTTTGCATGAGAAACGCTTCTCAAAAGATTTATTTTAGAGTTCTTCGAATTTCAATTTAATTATGATAAATAACAATCCAGTTCATTACATTAATCAATTTAATCCTAAATTCACAAGAAAATATTTTAAGTCTCAACAGTATGCGTAGAGAAACACGCAAAATACGTTTTTCTATTAAAGTAATACTAACGCTATAAAGTAAGCAAATTAATTAAAATATCGATTTAAATTTGGCGAAATCATAATAAATATCAATGTAATGTATGAAGACGTGATTACTGAAGTTGTGACAGTATAAAACATTAAATTACTCAGGAGATGATTGTAATACAAACTGCTTTTCAGAAACTAGTCCCTGGATGAGCTTAGCTCGGTAATTTTTCTGGTAAATGAAACCTAGCTAGACAGATTTATCGCGCCCGAAACGCCCCGCATACTAAATTTCATGAAAATTGTTGGTGCTGTTTCTGAAAATCAGATAATAAATATACCTATTCATATATACAAGAATTGCTCGTTATTTGTAAACGACACGACGTCAAGGTATTTGTAAACGACAAGCATTAACAGATTACACTATCATTTACAATGATTTTCAAATTTAGAAACTTCTTCTGCATTAACACGAAGATCGGAGTATTCTCCGATCCTCAGAAGAGAAATCAAATGTTCATTAAATATATGCCTTTTCAGAGGTGCCAATATTCTTAGCTAAGCAAGCTGGCGAGATAAAATTGTCTCACGAAACTCCACTTGATAATTTTATTATATACTTGTGCTGGTTGCTTGTTGTATCAACACTTGGAATGAGATGGGCAATTACCATATTCTGTTGTGTAATAAGATTCTTGATGAAATTTCGAATTATTATTAGGATGTTGATTAAGTTGTCAGGCCTTTTCCCAGGTGGGTTTTTAATTTCAATATTAGATTGACGCGCTTGTTGTCCATCAAAAATAACCAAGTCTCGGCGATATTTGTTGTTTATGTTACACATTCTTATACAGCTTGCCGGGCATTAATAAAATTTCATAATCCATACCTTCGGTCTTCTTGTTAAGGTTACTATTCGAGCATCAAGTGAATAGCATTTTGTGACATTCTGATTTATTTAAGTACTGAACGCTCGTTGTGTTTGATAGTTTTTTGTGTATAATAAAATTAGCTGTAATCTTTGGCTTAGCCCATGAGGCCGGAGGGTGCTGTATGTACAATTGTCTCAACTATACTGGAGTTTTAATCTAATATTCATCAATCTACCGGCGTTTCATCTTCATTAGTTTATTAATTTCCCCTCTGCTTTGGCACAAACTTGCCTCATAGATGAAACCAGATAGAGAGAAAATTCTTGTTTATCTAACGTGGTGTATGTACAATATACCTTACGCGGAGAAGGCGCATTTCTTTTCTAGTAACAGTTTGTTAATTTTCTAATTCAGTGCGCTTAGAATCGATACGGCATGATATTACGTTTTTCTTTGAAAAAAGTATTTTTTTAAAGTCGTTTAATAATTATGCCATCGTTCTGCTTGGAGCTGTTTATGTTCTGAACTACTGTGTATCTACAGTTGCTTATGATGGAATTTCATATGCCCTTCAAACAGCCTGATGCTTTGCTTGTTTAAGAGTCTACGACTAGTTCTCAAAATAGCTTGACGCTCAGTTTATTCTTGCTTTCTCAATTCAGCATTTTTTCGAAAATGCTACTATATTTTTCCAAAACACAATTAAATTATTTTAATAAACAAAAAACAAAAAATCGAAAAAGTAATAACAAAAAATACATCAAAAATTACAAAAAACAAATTCCAATTTCAAAAGTAATGTAGAGTCGTTTATTGATATCAGCTAAATACATTATTATTGTTTACCTACGTATTAGTTAACATACAAAGACTTGAAATATGTTTCTGTCCTTTTTTACCCTTTTTAGGGTAGAATTTCATCAAACCCGTTCTAAGTACACCTCTATGTGATAAGACGACCAGCGGTTTAGGCTTTGCGTTGTCTGTCAGTCAGTCTGTCAGGACAAAGATTCTTATGATATTAGATATTTAGATTGCAATACGATTAGGTAGATACCTACCAGATATAGTATTGAAATATTTGTAATCTTTTCCTTAAAAAAACTGCTATACTGAAAGACCAAATATTCAAACATCTTGCCCATCGAGCAACCCCAATATTATCGAAAAATCAAAAAAACTTAAATAGCAGGTTTACTAATTTTATGTTAAAATAGAGTGGCGTGATGTGATATTTATAGCTGATATAAAAAACCAGCTTAACATTATAATTTTTAAATTTTAATAAGTAATAATCATTATAATATTTACAGAGAGATTCGTGGAAGGTATAATCGCTGGCGTTATCGAAGACCTCAGCAATCAGATGAGAGAGAGTGGCTTGGACCCATTGCAGGTGTCCGAATCATTCAAGCAAACCTTGCCAGTTACAGAGTGAGTAAAATTTTCATCATCATAATTATAAGCATACAGGTGTTCTAAAAAAGGAAGGGTGGATTGGTGACTAGTAACGACTGCAAATCGAACTTGCTTAATCAACGGCTTTACTTGTCCTCCGAATTCGGAGGAGCTCGACACAATACATTTTTAGTTTATGGTGGCACAATTATGTTCATTACCTTCTGGGATATTTTTTTGCATTATTTTAATTTCCATAAAATTTCACTTATAAAATCTAACAATCAGGTTAGGTTAAAACTGCCCAACAACAAGCGATCCAACCGCCATACAAGCTATAAGTTTTTAAATTTATGCTCTACTTATGTTGCTTTGATGTTATGCTTGATTTATTATTCTTTCAACAGCCTGTTGGTAGTGAAAGCTGAGGTCGAAGATTTCATAGTTGCTGGCCTGAGCAATATCGTACTGTCTCAAATCAATTACAGTATCCTTCTCTCAAGGCTTACCTTCCGCGTCACTTTGCCTCTTATCTCCGTTAACATAGGTAAGATTCAAACTGTGTATATATTATATGTATACATAAAAGAATCAGGCGTTATTGCGGAAGTCCATTGCATTAACTGTGAAAATACGATATCTCATATTTCCACAGTCAGTATCTAATACACATGCACAAGTAGCAGCAAATTTCGCAACAACCACATGCTTCGGTCCTCGGAGCAGAGCATATTCAAGAGCTGATAGTTCTTAGAGCGTCAACTTGAGTCTTTTTGAGTCTTTCCTAGGAGATCCCCTCTCACCGGGAGTGGCTGGCCCAGCGAGTACGCTTGGGTTCCCGGTTGCCACTCCCAATGGAGAGTATGCCATAGTTTTTAGTGTGTGTTGTTTCTCCCTCCCTCCAGCGGAAGTTGCTGAATATCGTAGCGTCACAGTTATTTTATTTATCTTATTTGAAAAAGAATAAGGTAAAGTTTTTATTTTAAGTTTTCATAGCGAAGCATTTCATTTATGAAACACATAATATGGGAGCTTTATGATAAATAGGCCGCTATTTTTGAATGTTCACTATATTTGATTCAAAATGTAACTTAGCTATGTATTGTCATCTGAACTAAAAGTTGAGTTATAAATTTACAAGATTAAAGTTAAAAAAAAACTTTTTTGGTTATCTCGGTTTCTTGAATTAAATATGACGTAAGCAGACACAAAATTTAATAAGGAACAACATGTAGAAAGTGAACAAATTGAAAGCGTATACTAGTTTTCAGCTTAATATGTCTCAATCTTAAATTTGACTAAATTTTTTAGATTAAACAGATTTAATCTAATTTCAGCTTCATCTTCCGCTGATGTGCTTCTTTTGGGTTTCGACGCTGATGCATCTGTGAGCGGAAGGTAATTTTGATATTATAATTAAGTTCTTAGTATAAAATGGTGATAAGTTCTAAAAAGTTCACCGGTCCTAGGAGCCGATACTGGCGAATTTATTAATTATTAAAGCATTTTGTATATACATATAATTTAACATGAAAAAATGAAAGAGACAAAGAGCACTGCTTATTTCAAATATAAATGTTTGACCTTCCACGCTGGCCCAACTAGGATTGGAGGGTATTAACGGCTGCAAACGCAGCTACGATCAACAGCTTAACGTGCCTTTCGAAGCTCGAGATAATAAACTTTTTGGAATGTTTGGTCACCCATCTCGTGACTGAACCTTGCAAAAGTTGCTTAACAAAAACGATCGCGGGCCGCAGTGCTTATCCACTACGCGATCAAGTTACTCAGTATAGCATTGCGTATGTGAATTTGATCAAATAAAATAAGAAAATGATGAGATAAAAAAGATAGTCTTATTTTCGTGTTGCTTAAGACACGACTAAAAATATGATGCTTCTTTAATTTATTACTGTAAATAATCGAGTTTCCTTTGGTTATGTACAAAATTTTCATTAAAAAGTTTGGTTTCATAAATAGGGATGAATATTAATTTTTGTTTGCGTCTCCTTCGGGTAAAGTAAAGAATATTAAACACTTATTTTTTATTTTTGCGTTGACATGACATGATCTTTGTTCATTTTCTATATAGTTGTGACGTAGCGAGTCCTTTAGCCACTTTAATACCTATTATCTAAGTCATTCATGTTAAATGAAGTTAAAAAAATATGTATCTAATATTTTTCTGATATCTGACCGACGGACTTCATAGATTTTTTTTTACACAGTCGTCATCCCTATTCTATGTATCTATTTACATTCAATGATAAATTTTATTTCTATGATACACATTTTTTCTGGGTTAAAGATGGTGTTCTTTCTATAAAATGGAAACTAATATTAAGAGAAAATATTTGTTTTTTTCTTTATAATAAATAATTAAAAAAACTAGTGATTTGACTATAATAATACTTTCACGATCATAAAGCTTTATTTATCAGTTAATAATAATGGCTAAGCCGACAGGTAGTAGATTCAGCTGGTATCTTATAATTTATCGGTAAACAAAATTTATTTTTTATCTAATTGTTTTAGCTTGAAAAATGGAAATGAGTGAATTATATATTTCTTTAATAAATTAAAAACAGTTAATAATATAATACTGTTAATGCTTATGATAATCAATGTACAGGATTAAGACTAATCCTAATGAATTAGCTGTCTGATAGAAGCTATTTCATTATGATGAATGATAACTTATCATGATTTATAATAATTTATATTGGTAACTAAGATTTAGGTGAATAGTATAAACGGCATAAATATATGATAATAGTGTAATATGATTGGTACTCATATTTTTTTATACATCACTCATTTTTATTTGAGAGATTTAACCTTATTTTTGATTACTTTAGATATTCCCATATATTCGGCCCTAAGTCCTAAGATGTCTTTGATGACTCTGAGTCCAGTTTTTGTCAAGTTTATTTTAAAAAAAAATATCATTTGTTTCCAGCTTGGACATTGCAAACACTGAACTTTTGGGCCAAGTAGGAATTTCCATTGGAATCATCAGTGGTGTCTCCGTGAGGACGATATCTTTAGACTTTAGGCCAGGTCAAGTTACCGTGAGTATTTCACATAAGTTCCATAATCTTTATTTAAATTTGTAGTATTGATATAAATGTTTTGAATAGTCTATCCTCTTTAATAAAAAATATACAAAAAAACACTGCAATACTATTTAAGAGACTAGTACTCAATAGGGCATCAGTGTTATTGCCATTTGAAATATTGTAAATGAAAGAACTTTAAAACGATTACCGCGTTTGTACTTATTTAGTTTTATTGGCATTTCATTTATAGGTTCCGTTTTCACACAAGACTAAGGTGATAATTGTCTGTTTTGTTTTTTGTTGTTCGAACACGGAAACTGTTTAAAAGTTGTTTCATTTATAGTACTCGTGAAAATATACGAAATCAACACTAGATATTGTGTCTATCAACAAACAAGATCCCCGCCGAAGACCAACTGCAAGCGTGTCTTCTTCTCAATCGTGCACTTATGATAGAGTGGTCGTTGTTATTCAGATCACATACAAGATTATTTGTACACATACTACATAGTTACATTCACTTTCCGATCATCCTGAACACAACCGCTTCACAACCTTCACATTACTGTCGGTTCGTTGCGGTAGCTCTCAATCACGGTATTCTGTGCTATTGATTTCATGAAGTCTTTTCATAAATCTCTCCATTGAGTTCCCGTTCCTGGAAAAGCGACCAAAGAATTTCAGAATTCACAATCGTACATTCCAATGTAGTTAGAACACTTTAGTAAATGAAATATTATCAAATAAATGACATTCGATTTAAAAGAGGATAGATTGTCATGGAATAATGGTTTATATTTACTTTTATCTTTTACAGTCAAATTTGAATGCCATCATTCTTGGCAAGGACGTGTCTGACCAAGTGAACACAATCGCTCAATATACTGTACCTAATATTCTTGCGGACAACAAGGTAAGTACAGTTTAATTAAAACTGTCAAATACAATAATTTTACTTTTAAACTTTGACGTGACGGTGTTAAAATTTAAAATTCATTACTAATAATTAACATTTTGTGTCAATTGGAAGTGTATCTGTGAATGTTAATCATAACACTTGAATTGAATGAGTTAGTTTAGAAGGTATCGGCTCCCTTTCATTTTATTTTATGAATGTAGAAGTAGACGCGATGTATGCATGTAGTATATAGGAGACTAATCTTGACATGAAATGGAATAAATTTTTGTTCGAATCAATTTTCACAGAAGGCTATTATTAAAGCTATTATGCTAGAGCTAAACTAGTATATACATTTAACTTGGCATTATAAATGTTGTCTTAAAAGTCCTATTTTAGCAAGGTAGTGTTTACAGAGAATAATAACTTTCAATATAGTATGAAAGGAGGGCATTGAATACTTATATTATCCATTGAAACTATAAATACTGAAATAAAAGGGTAAAAAAAATTTTGTGACCTTTTAATAATCTACAACGAAGACACGGGATTTGATGAAAACTTTTGAAACAATTTTTAGAATACGAAAATGAGACTGTATGCAAGTTAAGTTTCCAACTTTATTTAGAGATAGATGAAAGTGATTTGATTGGGCTGTGTGCATTATTTTCTATCAAGCGTTTTGTATTGCATACTTTTTTATTTGTCTGGGAAACGCTTGAAGCACAATTTCTCTCAACTGGTTAGCGACGGTGTGTGGGACTCTTCTCCGTCATCAGAGGTGTATCCACTAAACCTCTACGATGTACTCACTTTTGGGGGATGAAACCCGGGAAACGATCCCTAACAGGGCCTCGATCCTGCTAATGTTTACGTAACAGCTGTATCTTAATGGCGACACAACTAAATGCATTTTACTATAGTACTTGAAGTCTATCATTATTAGTGCAATTTTCTTCATAAATCAATTTTGAGAAATATATTTCTTATGTTATGTTATCTCGTCACAAGAACTGTATCAAAACAGGGTTGTAATTGCAGCACTATTGATTTGACATTAGCAGAATTGTTGGACGCTCTCGGGTACATCGAATTATACCTAGTCGACTATTATCATTATAAAATTTAAATATTATTAATTAATATTTTATTATTAACTAATTTAAATATTTATTTTACAGAATGACATCGACCGAGTGTTGGAACACTACGCCACAATACTGATCGAGCAAAACCTGTAAACGCAACTCATAAAATGCTAATGCAATAACGATTCTGATTATTAATTATTTAATTGTATTTTCATGAATTATCTAAAAGTTTAAAAAATAAAAATAATTAAAAATATTTTTATTCTTATATTCTTTTGTTTTATTAAGCAACATATCCCAATTTCAGACAAAGATCATTCATCAATGAAATTAAGTACCATTTAACATGTTTATTTTCCGACATTTTAAATAGCGTATTTCAAAGTCGTTTTTTTATTTTTATTTACTAACGGTATCAGTAAAATCAATAAATACTGTAAATGTTGTATATACTAAAATAATCAACTACATGTATAAAAATCCTTTTTTTTATTTTATTATTAATTCATTAGAAAAAAATAAGTTAGTGGTCCGCAATTTGAAATGAGTTAAGATGTCCCGATTGTTTGTAAAATATTAATAATATGTAAAAATCCTTCTCAATAGTTACCATATTCTTAATCGTATCTTAAAGGTATTCGTCTGTCACATAGAAACCTTCATATATGATATTTTTTTCTGTGGTCTGTCGTGTAAAAAAAATATCAGGAATACATATAAAGAATCAGGTCGACAATATACTGTTTAAGTTAAAACCCTCTTGATCTTTCGCTTACGTTCTCATACAAATATGGTATAGAGAGTAAAGACACGTTCGTTAAATTCTTAATTTTTTATCACAGAAGAAATCAAATGATGTATATTACACACACTTAAGTATTATAAAATAATTTTTAATTCACTGAATCTCTTAACAAAGCAGGTAAAACAAATTAAGCCATTCTGGGTCTGTTGTCTTTACAAGTCTGTTAGATTGGGCAAAAACTATCGATATATCAAAATATCGATATTTTTTATGAAAAAAACGATATAAATAAGCAAAATTTTTTCCTGCGATATCGTCTTTCGATATTTATTTTCATATATCAAATTCGTGTCAAAATCGATATATTTTTTAAAATTCTGCTGTCGGCTCATGCGTCACATCATGTATTTTTTAAATAGAGAAAAAGAGTAGATAGACGCTTGGCTGTACGAGTTTAGAAATTGCAGTCTATGACCTTCTTGTCTTGTTTATCTATGACAATTACACTGCTTGTTGGTTTGGTTGATAGAGTCTGGCAAGCGAAACGTGTCACAAGAAAAGGGCGGCAATTTCAAAAATTCTTAAGCAGTAAACACTGAATGTAGTACTGCAAAATAATTTTGATACTTTTATTAATTATATTTAATCTTAACATTTAGATATCAATTAAAATTATTTGTTTTGGAACATTTGACTAAAGCGTGACTGTTCTTAATTGTACAGTTAACAGCATATCAGTAGGCCTATTCACTAACTCAACTGACAACCAAGAATCGTCATCACCGTAAAAAATAGACACTTTGATTGTGTCAAAATCACTATTTCGTATTCTCTATCAATGATGAGCAATTTCGAAATGTCAATATCGGCATTCTCCACTGGACTCCATTTTGACACTTGATTTCGTATCGATAAACTGTATTAAAGTAACATTGTTGCAAAGCATATTTGAAGTCGTCGCATAGTACCTCTTAAGCCATTTGTTGTTAAATTAAAGCGAAAAAAAATACGTATCCAATATTTTTCTATTATCTGACTGACGGACTAAATCGAATCTTTTTTTGAACCCATTCGTTATACCTATTGGCTAACAGCACTTATAATATTAAAAATTCATATTTGTCATTAATTAAAAGGGTGTTTTTTGCAACGACTTCTTAGTTTTTTTGTAATGAATATGGGCGACTCTGGCCACATTTTTTTAATAAATGTGATGTTAGCCAATTTTGATTTCTGGCCCTTATATTTATAATGTGTTCATAACACATACATGTCTCCTAAGGGATTTTCATCACAACCTTTTGCTCTGATCCAGAACCACTATCTATCAAATTAAATTAGTCAATATAAACACCAGATTACAATAAAAAAAAACATTTATTTTTGTTACAATTAAGTGCCATGGATAAATTACATAATACAGGTGTCACAAAATCATCATGTTAATCACAATAGAAAATTTAAGATAAGATTTTGACTATGAATCAGACTAAAAATACTTTAGTCTGATTCATAGTCAAAATCTGTTTCTAAATATTCTACACCTGATAACAATGACAAGGAATCATCAGAGTCACTCTCTTCACTACTGTCTGCACCAACAGATATAATAAATTTTTCAAGTTCGTTTTCAACAATGCCATCTTTTAATTTGTAATCATTTTCGACATTTAAAACATGATCAGTGTATTTCTTCCAGTCACTAGGGGTAATTAAGTTAAAACACTCTATTATTAAGTTTTCCATTTCCTTTCCTGGTATTCCAATGTTTCTGCTTGCAATTTTTCTTTTTGCTTGACTCCAAACCATCTCTATTGGGTTTAAGTCACAATGATACGGTGGCAGCAATAAAAGTTCATGATTATGTTCTTTTAAAATCTCTTCAGCTTCATATACAGGCAATGTTTTCTTATCATTAACCAAACACATTAACTCTGCCTTTGTCTGATATTCCTCAAAATGTATTCCATTATTTACAAGCCATTTACGGATATCTGCTTTGGTATTAGACATTATAGGCGGTTTATTGATTTGTTTTATATGGTAGCTGGCATTATCCATAACAATTACACTGGGCTTACTTAAATTTGGTATTAATTTTTCTCTGACCCATTTCATAAAAATCGATGAGTTCATATCATCATGATAATCAGCAGATTTGGATTTACTACTGAACACTAATAATGCACCAGGCACAAAACCTTCCTCAGATCCAGCATGCACAACAATATGTCGTTTTCCAGAGGATATCTTTGTAGTGACACCAGTTGTTGAAGGTCCTTGCCAAGACTTTTTAACTTTATAATTCTGATGTACATAAGTTTCATCAAGGTACACAATTTGCTTTCCTTCGTTTCGTTTTATATTTATTTCTCTCAAATACTTGTGCCTCCATGCAGAAATCTGGTATTTTTCTATAAGCATAGAACGTTCATTTTCATTGCTTTTAAAAGAAAATCCATTCTTAAGCATAATTTTTCGTAAAGTCTCACGGCTACCACTGAATCCTATTGCATCTTTTAATTCATTGTGAAGGCTTCTTAATGTTGGAACAATTTTTTTCACACAGTAAAATTCATTTACTTTATTCCGAATTGCACTTAAATCAAAATTATCTAAAGCAGACACTGTTGGTTGATGAGGTCGTTTTTTCCCAGGAGTGTCCCATTTTCCTTTATTAATTAATGCTTCATTTTTTATCCTTCTTAGTGTCCTTATACTTACATCTATAAAAGATTAAACACTTTGAAACAAAGATATGTTAAATGTATTTAAAAGCAAATAATGATAGACACATACATCAAAATAATTTAAATACCTATTCAACTATGAATGCAATTTATGTTTAATTTAGTTAAGTTTATGTGCATATTTAGCATGTATAACAATTACATGGTTTGATTAGTTTCATGAATTCTGTGAATTTCCTTGTTAAACAAAACATTCTTATGACATCATTGGATGTCAACAATAAAAACCAATACATCATAAAAAACCTATGTAAATATTATAGGAATACTATCAATCTATCTTAAATCAAAACAAGAAAAGAGACCTGTCATTGAAGAAATTTTTTGTAAGTACTGCGTTTCCGAATTCAGCATTTCTTGTTTTTCTAAAGTTTTTATTGCATTTATCTCCTCCATTATTGGTTGAATATCACCATCACAGTTATCTGAAATAGAGCAATATTTTATAAAAAATATCTGTTTAGTTAATTACAGAAAATTAAAACGAAAGTATCAAAATTATAATACAAAACTAACCTAAAAAAGATACAACTTTATCTAATCGTTGTAATTTCTCCATGAAATTTTTATTTAATTCAGTTTTCACTTCAGTAAACTTGTCAATCATGATGGAAAGAAGTTTCCTCGATGAACTTTTTATCGGCTTCGACATAATTTTTAACCAAAAACACAAGTTCAAATTCGCAAAAACAACAAAATTCAATATTCTTGAATTGTCTAACGTAGTGTCAAACTGACAGTTCTATGTTGTTGCCATATGAAAACGGAAAAATAGGTGGTGTCACGTTTCGCTTGCCAAACTCTATCACTGAGAGTGCTTCTGATGTCAATATCAAACAAATACTGGTTTGTTTGAATAATGTAATTTTTTTTTGTGTTGATGATATTGTTTTCTCAGTTTTATGTACGTATTTTGAATAATTAAACCGTTGTCATAAATATATTTATAATTTTGATTTATTGAATGGTTCAGAATAAGTATTGGCGTAGTTCGTAGCAACTTCGCTTTTAGTAAATTGAGCTTAATTTTATTTAATTAAATCAAAAATTGCAGACAAAGATTGTCACAAAATGCTCGATGGCAATTTTTTGAGTTTATGGATTGACTCTAAGCAAATGAAATAAAAAAATGGGATTATATCTCCAAATAAACCATAGTTGGTGGCGCAACAAAGAGATTATAAGTAGAAAGATAAAACTAAGTGTATAGTTTAATACATATTAGGTTGGGGAAAAAGTCCTTTCGCATATACTTAGTATGAATAAAATTGTAATATAGTCTGTCTGGCTGGTTTCGGTATAGTAAAAAAGTTTAAATTTCAAAGAAGATAACTCCGAATTTATATAAGATTTTCATTTGTTTTTCTTACTGTTAAAATCAGTGAATCTAAAGAAGTAATTCGATACATTTTAAAATTTTATTACCTAAAAGGTAAAACTGCAACGCCAGCCGCAAAAAAACTTTGTAACGTTTATGGACCTAGTGCTTAGTTTCTGTGAGAGTAGCACAAATATGGTTTAAGCATTTTCAGTCCGGATATTTCGATCTCGAAATTGCACATTGTTCCGGTCGCCCCGTAGCTTGAAAAAGTGGAGGTTGAAAAAGTGGAGCAAGATCGGCATATCAGTCGTTACGATGTGGCTGAAGAACTGCGAATTGATCACTAAACAGTTTTGGCATTTCAAAAAGCTGAGTACATAAGAAAGTTGGATATTTGGGTACCTCACGAGCTTACTGAAAGAAACCTAATGAACTGTGTACTAATTTGTGATTCTTTATTACGGTGTAATGAAACCGTACCATATTGAGGAAGCTGATAACTGGTGGTGAAAAGTAGATCACGTGCGACAAAAACGTGCGATAAAGGTCGTGGTCGAAGGTCAGTCCGGCTTCACAGACTGTGGCGAAACCCGGGTTAACTCGCAACAAGGTGATGCTGTGTGTATGGTGGGATTGTAAGGCCATTATTAATTATGAACTGTTACCGCCAGACAAAAATTGAGAGAGTTTGGCTGGGAGGTACATCGACCGTATAGTCCTGACCTTGCACTATCAGATTTCCACCCGATTCGGTCTCTTCAGAATTCTTTAAGCAGTGTCAGGTTTTTAATTTTCATATAAAATGCGAAGAAAGCTTTTCCACAACCTATTAGTAATATTTGTAATAACAATAAATATATAAGAAATCATACAATGAAATTCCCAGCTTTTTTGCATAAATAGATTATAGTATGACGTGGCCGTTGTGCATTATAGGGGCAATTCCACTGAGATCTAGCTGCGATACCTGTTGAGGGCTACTAATTAAAGTAGCTTGTCACTTAGATGGATTCACTGTTATACCAAAATTAGGAGATATTATATAATTATAATATTATATATTTTATGAGAATCTTTATTGCAATGGTTAGCGCCTATGGTCTAAGACGCCGAGGCGAATAAATGGTTGAGCAAAAATTTTGTATCTCTAGCTCTTCTGGCTTCGGGAGGGATTAAAGTCGTGTACCAGGTAACCTGGTGCTTTTGTGAACTTCAATACTTCACAATATACTCAATCGTTAAAGTAAGTTGTGTCGTATTTTAAAGTTTGATTAAAAATACTTGAAAAAGGTTGTGGTAAGGTCTGCCAAGAAAGTGATCTACCGCTTTAGACGAAAGTTTCCCTGAGATTTAATTATCGTTAAGATTTACTTTTCTAACGTTGTTTAGATACTCAATTATGACTTATTGTTTGTTATCTTATAATATGATATATACTTATAATATTATGCATGGGGAAATCGATTTTGTTGATTCGTGACATTTAAACGAATCTGAACCATGAGGTGCTAGACCATGTTTTTGGGAGAAGAGATTTTTTATAATATCTTCAAGGTAATTTTGGCATTGATTTATTATTTAAATAATTTATGATTATTTATTCTTGTAGGATCTAAGTATAATATGACAACTTCCTTCAAATTGTAAATAGAATTGGCACCAATATCATATATACGTTATCAATTTTTCACCAATCAGACTCCGCTATATACTCATATAGTATTTGTATTATTTTTGGATATCATATCACTTAATTGTTTACGTTCCTACGTAATGGTAATCAGATATATGTAGTTTAGATATAGTAATTATTATCTTTAGCCGATCAAACAAGAGACTTCTACGGTCACTAATAGTGACTTTTTTATTATCAAATATCCAAGGAAAACGGTATGTACCATATTTTAAATGAATATTGTCGACAAAACGATTGCTACAGTAAATTAATTATTTTTACGGTAAATGCTTTTTACATTTTTTTTGTGGAGGTTTATTAAGTTATAACGTTACGATTTCATTTGCATTGGTTGTTTATAGTTGGCGTTAGAGTGTGCGTTTGATTTATTTTTTAAACACTGTAAAATGTCTATTTGTAAACACTATTTTAAAAATTCGCAATCTAGTTTTTTGATAAACAGTGGACATTTTAACTCATCACCAGCTATCAGCTATCACCAGCCCAGCCCTTTTACTTCCCCACTGCAGGGGCTCAGGCCTTCCTTATGGATGGAGGATGGGCCATGACCCTCCACGCTGGCCCAATGCGGATTGGAGAGTATTAACGACTGCAAATGCAGCCGGGACCAACGATTTAACGTGCCTTCCGAAGCACGGAGTAGCTCGAGATAATAATTTTTTGGTCACCCATCCCGTGATCGTGGTCCGCGGCGCTTATCCACTACGCCACCGAGCTACTAAAAAACTCATAAAAAAATTTAATTCAGTAACTAATGCCATCTATTGACATCAAGACAAGGATAAGGAAAACACTGATTTTCTATAACTGAAATTTGCACAAACTCTAATTTTCAGCCCCAAAATGCGTGCGGTGTGGATTTTGATTGCTACAGCAGTAGCTACAACTGTAGCTGTACCCGTTAATGAGATTTCACTTGCTGAAAAAATCGCTATAGCAGGTGAATACAACATACAACACTACTTGTTTATATATCTACTAATAATATTATAAAGAAGAAGTATTTGGTTGTTTGTTTGCATTGAATAAGCTTCGAAATAACTAGAGAAATTTTAAAAAACGTCACATACGGTAAGTTTATATGCGGGCGAAGTTGCAGGAAAACAGCTGGTCTACTTATAGAAACGGAATGAGTAGATTTGCTATACTGATAATAATTTCGTAGAAAGGATTTCGAAAATTCATTCACCTATATACCTACATTTTTAATGAGTCACAAAGGCTATATTTTATTAAGTAGTGGTAAATGAGGTCAATTTCGTCCCGCCTCAGAATGTAATGTGTCACAGTTCAATAAAATTAATTTTTGAGCACTCTGTGACTTAATAGGTATACGAATAGTTTGTAAATAAAACGTTATTGCTTTCAATATTTCCTTGGAAATGATTTAATGTTTTCTCACCTTTAAATCTTTCTTACCTTCGTATCTATAGACGAGAGAGAAAATGTTATATTTTAAGCAAAATTTTTAACCAATACACGGGATTTTGAATGAATTAAGAACTGTTAATAGCTAATAATAATAATATTCTAACTGTTAACAGTTATTAATTCATTCAAATTATTGTTTACTTGGTAAAAGTATCTACAGTAATAATGACAGGCTCAAGTAATTAATTCTCTAGACTATGTTACACCCGGTTTTTGTATTGAAAATATAAATTGAGCACTTCGCAAACCGTACTGAAACTGTCTTAAACGACACTTAAATAGGTTCTCGTTTCTGATTTTAATGTTTTTAACGAACACGTGATAGCGGTCTGATAAAATCAGGACTTTTTGCCATGTGAAACCTAAAAATGTGAAATTATTGAAAATAATCAGTTGAATCAGATCGTTCGAATTTCAAAATTTTGAAATAATAATTTTAACATTTGAATTTTGAAATGTTATTTCAAAATTCGAACGATCCATTATCGTATTAATGCCGTTAGTACACTGACGCAATCGCATGTTAATGAGAAATATTGGCAGTTGTATGGCAATGTTTGTCGCACTTCACGCATGTGCTTTGTCTTGTTCTTTTATTAGCTTGTTCTTTTATTAAGTCGTCCTTGTCAGTATGGTTTTGCAGTCAACTGCGAAATAGGTCCTTACACAGATGCACATGTTTCGCTTTCAGAGTTACCATGGCCCTAATGTTTCTAATGACTATCCAATGATATCACGAATTTTGGTGACAAAGGTGACAGCTCTGTCATCATTCGCGTAGTTTCGCAGATAATTCGTGTACTAACTGCTTAAAGCCTGGAAAAGTTGATTAATGTCAATTCCAATGTAACATTGAAATAATTTTGTTGTGAACTCAAACGGATAAGATTGTTTTTTATCTTTCGACAAATTGACTTATTGGCACGTGATGTGAAATATTTACAGATAAGGCGGATTTAATTTGATTTAGAAATACCTAATATTATGATAAAAGAACCAGCTCGGTGACGTAGTGGTTAAGCGTCGCGGCCCGTAATCGTTGTTGTTAAGCGACTTTCGCAGGGGACGACCACGGGATGGGTGACCAAAAAGTTTTTATCTCGAGTTACTTCGTCCTTCAGAAGGTACGTTCAGCTGTTGGTCCCGGCTGTATTTGAATTTGTTAATACCCTCCAATCCACATTCGCTTGCGTGGAGGGTAATGGCCTTATCATTCTTAACCATTCATAAGGAAAACCTGAGAACATGCACTGAGGACGTTAAGTGGCTGATGATGATGGCGAGTATTCAAATGATAAAAATGTTTTACTACTTTTTTATTATTGCATTCTTATGTCTATAATTTGTAAAAATTGTAAACCGACTTACAAAAATTGTTATTCGTTAGTAGATGTTAACGACTGCAGATGTAGCCGCTACCATTAGCTGAATGTGCCTTCCAAAGCACGGATGAGTTCCAGATAGTAAATATTCAGTCACCCATCCTATGACAGGCCATTGCAAAAGTTGCTTAGAAAACGTATCGCAGACCGAGCGCGCTAGCCCCTGCGCTGCCGAACTCCTATTCGACAACATTCGATATATCGAAGATATATTTCACTTTTAACGATGCCATAAATACCGATGAGTATGTATGAACAGAGTAATGAAAGTGGATGAGGCGAAAGATATATGCAAGGACCATACTTTGTGGAGTTTGGTCCTCTCTGCCTACTATTTATGTCATCGAAGATATCAAAAATATTTATTTCAACTATGGAACTTTTTTCAGGGGATCACACGAGGAACAGTTTCCTAGAAGAGTTGCTGCTAGGTCTGATTGAAGATTTGAGACATGTTTTACTAAATGGGAACGATGATTTGCCTCCGTTAGATCCACTGGTCATCGAACAGTTGTCATTAAGCGACGAAGACATTCCTGTACCCGGGTAATGTTTACCAGGAATAATTAAATAAGAAATATTTGTTAAGCGAAGTGAAGAACTTTAAATAAGTACTTGGGATTTAAAACTGAGTAAATCTAGTCGGATACGTGATTTTCTATTGTGTCTAAAGAACTATATTTTCTGCATTAATAATTGAAATTGTTTTGAAAAGATTTTCATGCTCTTATTTTTTGATTTAACATACAAAATCCGTCCATTAACATTGACATTAGTTGAAGCGAACTTCGGTCAATTACACAAATGTCCATTAAGGTTTTATGCTGTTTTCAATCTCTGATTAATGTTCTAAATATGAAACTTTTTATCAATAATGTGGCTTTAAACTAATGTCAATTTTGATGTTTGTGCAACTGGGTGTTAATGAATGAACCAATCTTTATTTATCAACTGGTGTTGATTAGCATTAATTTATTTACGTCACTAAATATTTTACTGGCAATCATTTTAAATGCAATCTTAATTTATAAATGTTACACATCCTATTAATATTATAAAATGTGAAAGTTTCTTTGTTTGGATGTTTAGATGTTTGGATGTTTGTACGTCAATCACGCCGAAACTACTGAACGGATTTTGATGAAATTTGGTATACAGATAGGGTGTTAGCTGACTTAGATAGTAGGATACTTTTTATTCCACTAAACATTTTCCTAGGGACCACGCGGGCGAAGCCGCTGGAGAAAGCTAGTTAGAAATAAAACAAACATAAATAAATCCGTTATCCACTAGTACAAATAATATTTATGATGAAAAAATTAGAACCTGGGTAGCTCAGTGGTTACAACAGTCGCCAAGATTGCGAAAGGTCGTGTTTCTGAGATGGTTCGAATTCCATCTCAGAATACTTGAGGCTGGTGGATTTTTTAAACATTTTTCATTAAGAATATTTTTCTGTTTGGGTGGATTGCCTGAACATTGATGAGAATACGCTCTGTAGTAGCGGAAAAGTGACTAGTGCTTGAAAGATTCGTCAGTCTTGTTAGGTCCTGGGTAGCTCAGTGGTTAGAGCAGTCGCCCGGATTACGAAAGGTCATGGGTTCGAATCCCATCTCAGGGTGCCAGAGACCAAGTGGATTTTTTAAGCATTTTTCATTAAGAACATTTTTCAACTAACATTAGTTATTACAGCTCAAGGATATATATTCGTTCATGCAATAATATTTTTAATGATTCAATTCAGTTGATTTAATTAAATTCAATCAATAATATCAAACTACAAAATTCGCTTCATTAAATTAATTGTTTATTGATAACAAATTTAACTTGATTCAGTTAGTTAACAAATTTAACTTGATTATTTTAAGTCACCTTGCACACCGTATAGTTCCACTTTGGCGAGGTAACTTTATCAGCTACTTTCTCAAGAATACCGTTGGTACCGCTACGCAGTCAGTTTATTAGGCACACTGTCTTCTTGCGAAGGATGACTTGGAAACCATCGGTGTGATATTGTGCAAGCATAACTGACGCGCTGCTGTAGCGCGGTCTGCTGCATTATTCAGAAGATACTATTATATTTTACACGAAGAGTATCAAGCGATCTTTTTTATTTTTAAAACGTTTATAGTTGATTGTGACGATTGCAGGGCTCAAATAGAACTATCAGGTGTAAAAGTATCGAACCTGGCAAGTTTCGTCATAGATGATCTCTCCGTCTCTCTGACTTCTGTGTTACTGCAGAGGTTCCGAATTCAAATCGACGGAAGAATACCTTTCTTGGATATAGATGCAGGTAAAACAGCAAAACAGAAACTAAGCAAATATGGAACAGGATGCTTAAAATGAAATAACGAATTTATTTTTCTAAATTTTTCTTTATAGGAACTTTAATACATTTTGAAATGAGAATCGAAAGATTCTTGGACTTCTGAGAATTTACAAATCTAGCCCTATTAGAAATAATTAAAGAATGGTTTATAATATTTAAGGATTATGTTTGCAGCTTTATTCTTAGCGATTTAAAGTTAACATATTATATCTAAATCGCTACGGATGAAGCTGCTTAAATAATTTTGATCTAACTTTTTGGTAAGTTCGTTTGAACATCAATTTTATTTTATATATTTTGATTATTTTCTTTTTATTAAATATATTACTAAATACCCGTAAATTTAGTTTCTATTAATCAACTCGCAAATTAACAGGCAGAGTTTTTTTCTTATAAATATATTTTTAAGCAGCGATATAATCAGAAAATACCTTTCTGCAGTCAATTTTGGATTTACGTTTTGAAAAATTAGGCTTTTTGTAGGAAAAAGTTGACTGCGCATAGAGGAATTAGATTATTACTTTGTTGTAACGTGGTTGTAACTGTAAAGAAGATAGAGCAATTATTAGTTAAATATCCTTAAATGTATCGGGATTCAAGAACTAACTCAGCTTACAATAACTTCTATACATATATTAAGTAAATATTTTTATTGTGATACTGATACTGGTATAGTAAATAAAATTGACAGTAAATGGAGTATCAATTTGAGCAAAGAATTGCTTAAAATACATGTACTTTTATAGTCACTATTTTAAATAATAATTGTCAACTTTGATTTATAAATAATAAATCTTCTCCATATTCAATAAAAATAAACACGTACAGAAGAAACAATAATGAGTGTAATTGCTTCGTATCGAGTCCCGCTGTGAGTGTACTCGAATAGACAGTCACTAGAAATGTCTCTGACACCATCAGAAGTACTTTCCGATAACGAGACTTTCAATTATCTGTTGATATTCCAACAATTTTATTTCTGTTCATATTTAAACACACTTTAGTGGTGAGATTAGTCTAAAGATAAAGGAGAATCAGAAAAAGATTTAAGAAAATTTTGTTGTAAATTACTTTCGAATTAGTTAACGAATAAGTCAGTTTTAACCTGTGGTTTTAACATTCATTGACACGAATATAGATGAGAAATGAGATCAGAATTTAGATGAACGCCGTGGGTTTTTTTCTCAGAGGAATCACCAGACGGACGCTAAGTCTGCTGAGTGGGTTTGGTGAAGAGGCCGCATACATCCGGCAGAGATAGTTCTTAATGCATTCTTCCTTAATAAATTAGCTCCTTTTGAGTAAGACAAAATAGTTTAAAAAACTGGGTAGTAAATAATTTTAGTAGCCTTACTCAAGAAATCAATCCTAACAATTATTGACGTTTTAACAGAATTTTAACATACCTATCAAAAATGCTTTATGCATACCTCGATGGCTTAAAGTCACCAAGGTTAAGTAGGACTATGGTATTGTGAGTGTATTCTTATAGTCTATGATGCATCATTGGAGGATTCATCGGGGAAGCAGTTGTTGAGTCGCGAAGATACTCCTGACAATCATCCATTAGCTGCTGTATATCTACACAACTGTTTTTGTTTGTGCCTTGTGAAAAACGGTATTATAGCAAAGTAGTCCATCAAAGAAAACACATGAATTACATGAAATAAATCGTGGTTATGTGTGCGTTGCGATAGAGCAAGCGGAACTAGCGCGTGGTGCGGGCGGCGCGGTATTGGTTGATATGGTGGATCTGCCCCGAAGGGATTACACACGCTCGACCATTCATATAAGCGTTCGGTCTATTAAAACATTTTGGTTCCTGTGAAATAAATAAATTTGTGTTATTTCAGATCGCTATGACATTAATGTATCGGCTATGGGAATCAACCTATTCGGAGCAGGAGACGCCAAGTAATAGTTATTTTTCTTATAATTAAAGTTTTAGAAATCAGGGGGGAAAAGTTTTTTCGCATGTACATGCACAAACTTGTATTAAAATCTTTCTGGCTATACCATTTGTATCTATCTAGTTTCGGTATCATTAAAAAGATTAAAAAACCACTTGGTTTTATGATCAGAAGTCCCATAATTTCTACAGATATGGAATGAATCAATTCCCTAGCTACAAGATGGCAAAAAGTTATCAAACAAAACGGTACCTACATACAGGTACGTTAAATTTAACTAAACTTTATTAAAAAATGTTTTATAATTTCCATGAAATGTGAAGAAATTTTTCCCCGACCTATTATGAGAGGAGCTTGATCGCAGGATGAGTGACCAAAATGTCTGTACCATAAGGTACGTTAAGTCGTTGATCTCGGCTGTATCTGCAGTCGTTAATATCCATTAATCCGCACTAGGCCGACCGACGGTGGGTGACCCATTCTCCCTATTCGATTCCATCCTTAGAAAATGCCTACATCCCAACAGTACAGGTATCCAAGGGCCGGTGATGGTAAAATTGTTTGTTACTCTATTATGCAACAACTATTTAGATGAAATTTGATATACGGATAACTTTAGACTTCAATTAAAATATAACCTACTTTATGTCCCATTAAACGGGACCCTAGTCCATGTCCATTCATTATGTACTCGTTTACAGTTTGTGATTGTTAAATATCAATTAATTGAAATTTATGGACTATTTAATTAGTTAGGTTTTGGAATTTTATACTTTTCATAATGATGTTGCATTTTAGAATCAAAGTTATTAATCCTGCACTGAAAATCGACATGTTGGTGTCCCTGAGGGTCAGCATTAGTCAGGGTGTGAGCCTTGTGCTGTTGGAGACTGAAGCCAAATTTAATTTGGAGGCATTCCAAGTAAGTTATAAAAAGACTTTGTACTATATTTTAAAACCTATGTTTAGAAGATATAATTGATTTTGGGATGTCAGAAGGAATCTTTTTTGATTCCCAAATTATTTTGAGCAAGACTGTTCCAAAACGAACTGATACCTGAGACTTCACAACCAATTTGATTTATAAATCCTGTATATTTTTATTATCCCACAGAATAGCTGCTCTACCCCCGCGGGGCTAATAAATGAGTGGTTAAGAACTATTGATTTAGATTCATGGGAAACCGGTATTGACCCCAAGGGGTCAATATGGATCGCGTTGGGAATACTTGGAATAGTGAATTATTTTAGTTGCTCCGTAAAGAGATAATTAAGTTTTCGGTCACTTATCCGTTCCGAAATCTCTGCCGAATTCGCTACGTCATCGAGTTTTTCAAATATAACTATATAAAATAAGAATGATTGAATACATATCTTATTCAAAAAATTACAAAGAGGAAATTTCTGTTCACAGCCAGAGATAACAGGCATTTTCAATGATGACGGAGCTAGTGCCTTCATAAATGATTTCCTGGCTCACTTCGTTCCATCTGCAGCGCAAGCTTATGAGGTAATATGAAGATCAGAAAAGATTGAGATATTGATGATCCTCTTTTATAATTAAAACTTCTAGAAATACTAATATTATGCAGACGAATTTGCTGGCAAAAGCTATCAAAAATACATATATCAACATAGCTTCTGGCAATTTCCATCAAATTATTTTGGGCTATGGTGGTATGGTGGATGCAATAGGGTGCAAAATAGTCAGTGAAATACAAAACATTACTAAGAAATTATAATGTGAGTGAAGTGAGTCCCTTGCCGGTCAGCACACAGCGTATGTAATCGCGAATGCTAATCATTGTATCCGCTTCATGTAATCTGAACTATTAATGAATACGAAAGTGTGTTTGTTACGCTTAAACCGCTGAACCAATTAAGATTGAATTTTGTATGAATATGGTATGAGGAACTGGAAATAAAATTATGACAGTTTTTCTCTCGGAAATCGTTACAAAAGAGGCGAAAGTGGGATAGAAGTTATTTTGGTAAATTATTTATTTATCTTGTTATAGGAAAATAATATCGTTAGATATTACATTTTCACGTTAAAACCGTTGCTCGGTTTCATAATAATTTGACAAGGATGGGTATTAAATAAGCCTTGGAGAAAAAATAGGTAAAATACTAATTTTATAATGTAAAGGTCACTGTAATGATTTGGTCTCTACTGATTTCAATATATATGGATTTGGTAAAATAATCGCGGCAGCCCCGATAAAGGTTAATTCGTGACTTTTATTGTCAACCCTCATCGTTTAACAAGGATTTCATGAGCTTCGCCTACGTTGTGTTTTGGTGCTGACTTTAATTTTCATTGACGCTTAATATCACTCGGGGATTTATTTGACGTATTAATATATACCTACGTTTTTGTACATCTATAATAACATTAAACTAGTTTGCGTAAATTATAATCTAATTCAACCGCGTATGATGTAGCGTCTGGTACATAAAAGATTTTTTAAAATCAGTCCTTGTAATTTCGGAGTCTATTCGATGCAAAAAACAAACAATTAATCATAAATTACAGAAAATAATAATTTAACTCATTCTTGATTCACTGAGGTCATTCGCAAATGTGATAATATCATACTTAAGGTAATTGATTTTGAAACAGAATTATGAATTATATCATAATTCTTAAAGATTACAAATTATTTTCACATTAATATCAAATTATACTTAATTGTGTTTTTTTATTTTCAGAATGAAATTAATGAATTCCTCAGCGAAACAATACATGACATCGTGAGCGATGTTTTCGACAATCTAGATTTGTGAGGTAGATGAAAGACAAGTTCACTAAATTAAGAAGACAGTGAAAGTCAGGGTTAACGTTCTATTGAAACAATAATAAATATTTTGAATAACGTTCTATATGACTTTTCACTTAATTGTTTCTTTTTAATTTCGTTTGTGTAAAATATACGAGAAAAGGTCAGTTAAACTATTGAATAGTTTTGTGCAAACGTATATAAAACGTGTATAATAGGGGTGATGACTGGGTAAAAAAAAAGCAATTCTATTTAGTCCGTCAGTCATATAATAGAAAAATATTAGATACGTATTTTTTTACTTCAATTTAACAAGCTTAGATAACAGGCATTAAAGTTGAGGAGTGGGGGCTCGCTACGTCACAGTTTAGTAGAAAACGTACTCTAACGTGATGTCATGCGAAATTTCAACTCCATGTAACGCCGTAATTTTATGATAACAAAAAAAATAAAAAAATACGTGTTTAATATTTTTTAACACTCTACCTGACGGACATACAAACAAAAATTAGTCATCATCCCTATTGGAATGAATACGTATATTATTACACGTATATAACGTAAACGTATATCATCATCATCATCACCAGCCCTTTTACGTCCCCACTGCAGGGGCTCAGGCCTTCCTTATGGATGGTTAAGGATATCATTGGAATGAATTAAGTAATAAATAAAAAAGTAGCCTTTTCAAAGATATAAAGGCAAAAGGAATTATCATTACCACTGCTGAGGTTCAGCCCTTCTCTATGGATAGGATTAAATCAATTAGAGAGAATACGTCTTGTCCTACCACTCAGTCCAGTGCGGATTGGCGAGTATTAACGAGTGCAGATCCAATGGTTAACGTGCCTTCCGAAGCATAAAAGAGCTCGGGATGATAAATTTTTGGTTACTTATTTACCGGGCTTGAATGCGCTTGATGGTATAATGATTAGCAGGGGCAGTTTTAAGACAGTTGTAACATAAAAGTTATAACTTTTAAACAAAACAGCCATACTGACCCTAATTAATTTGATTAAGTACTGTTTTTGTAATTTGAGGCAATACTCGTAAACCATTTTTATTATTATTATTATTACTTACTTAGTCAAATATTTTTTTAAATATCTAGAAACTATTTTAAATACAAGGTCATTTTTAATACAGTTAATTGGGTCTTATTTCTTTGTTCAAAATTAGTGAAAGCCTTTTAGTTAGTACGCTTTTAGACTTTACCCTTCTTACTTTCACACAATCATTCAAAGGTTTGCCGGAAGAAAACTCATACTTAAGGTTTATATAAACGCCTACCACAATATTGCGGTCTAAAAAACATTTATGTAGTTACATTAGAGTGTAAATTAAATAAAGGGTTAGTGATTTCTGATTAAGGCCGTCTCAAGGGTAAATTCTTTTTGTATTTCCTGGGAAAGTTAATACATCAATAGTCGGAACATTGACAGGTTGATGATTTAGTAACTTAATACTACCCGAGCTTCACTGGGGATCATTTTGATACAAAACGACCGATAAAAGGGACGAAAGGATCTGTTCCTTAATTGATTGATGACTACAAGTTACCGTCTGCGTCCGGGCTTAAACTTATAGGGAAGGCGAAGTTATATTCACTGAGTGGTTTTTTAGTGCGAATATGCCGAAAAGTATTGTTTTTAATTGAATTAAAAAAGGGGAGATAAAGGTCTAGTATATCAATGTTCAGCAGTGCTCAATACAGCGTTGAACACAACTTTTGTCGCAGCATCAGAGACTTAACTAATTAAAGCCTTTATTGAGTTCCTTTTGAAGTATGTCTAACGTTGTATTTTTACATAATACGATAGCAGATAAAGTAAAACGCCATTATATTGTCTCCACTGCTGGAGCTCAAGCCTTCTCTAAAGATATAATCGACTCAAAGTCGAATAGGGAGAATTGCCATGACCCATAACGTGAGTCCAGTGCGGATTGATGGGTATTAACCGACTGCAGATGCAGCCGAGACCAACAGCTTTAAGCTTCTTCCGAAGCACAAAGGAGTTGGAGCCAACATGTCTTCTGAAGCACGGGAGAACTTGAGATAATAAAATTTTGACCACCCATCCTATGATTGGTCATTGCAAAAGTTGCTTAAGAACAATATCGTAGACCGAATGCGCTGACCACTCCGCCATCGAGCGCATCCGCCATCGATATATGTACTTGTATAATATTATGTTCTTAAGACATTGTCTTTCATTTTCATTCTACCCAAATGTAAAAAGTCGTAGTTGAACATAAGCCTTTTTATTCCAAATTAAAAAGTTAACTAAATTACATAGGTAACTTGCTTTTCCTTTATTCGTCTTACGTATTAATATTTTGTTTTCAGGCTTAGACATTTTGTTTTTATACAAAATAAAAGCAAATGTATTTATCCTCTTATTGTGCTATTAGGGGCGAATAGAAAAATCATCTTCAAAGCGGTCTCGATAATTTCGCGGCGAAATGTCGGACCAGGATAAACTGGGATTTACATCAGGATCGAGGCCTGTCCTAAATAAATAAGTTCATATAAAAGGGTACCCTTTGTAGGTACATATTTGTGAAGAAAATTGAAATCAAAGACCAATTGGACGAATACGGAAAAGTTTGTTCGGCCTACTTATTTTTGTTTATCCTAAATTAAAATTACAACTTAGGTATGTAATTTAAATTCAGACGCCCAATGGCGCAGTGATTATCTCACTCGGTTTGCGATACGGTTGTTAAGTTACTTTTGTATTGACCGGTCATAGGCCAAAAAAATAGGTTCTCTAGTTTCTCTTTGCTTCGGAAGGCACGGTAAGCGGTTGGTCCTAGTAGCATTTGCAGTCAGTCGCCAGGACAGAACCCGCATGATAAATTACTCCGTCTTTTAATTTGAATCACCACGTTTAGAGATTACGTTCATACAGACAGACGTGACAGGAAGAATTTTCTTTTATATTATGAATTAAATTTTCATTTCCATTCTACTAATCTCGTATCTAGCTGTCTCCTTGCGAGTGCATATGTCAATTATCCTCTCCAGAGTAGATAACTTTCTGTTGTTTGGCAGTATTTAAACTATTGCAACTCCTTTGTGAAGTGCAACGACGGGGATCGAAAACTTTAGCAGTAACAGTTGCGACTGCTAACGGTAAATTGCACTTTATTTCTGTGCCAAAGCAGCATTAGTTGGTGAACATATGACGTCATGTTTTATCTTTGAATTCTCTAACGATCCTTTGGTTCAAATTACTTTGATTAATATGAAATTGAATGATTCGCCACAGTTGCCGAATGAGCAGATTCTAGAAGATAAATTGATGAGTGTATCGAATTATTTTCCTCCACTGGTCCTTAATACGGTGTCGGTCTGTCATTTTCTTCCATTCTTATCTTATCCCCTCTTTTTAATTTCATTTCATTCCCCACACAGCCTATCTATCCTTTGGACATCTTTTTGCTCTCCATTTATCGTTTATAATTCAATTACCCTCTCATCAGTACTCATTTCATCCCTTCTTATAATTGTCCGTATCAGATCAGATGATTTCTTTTCAGTTTTTGCTGGTGACACTTTCAAACTCCTTTTTATATAGGGTGTGTGCCCTAGTACTACACCAGCAGAGCTACTATCTAACTCTCAAGCCATGATTCTAGTATAGGATACGACATCTTGTCGACGTTATTGCGATATTTCATTTCGTATTATTACTTTGACATGTGCTTTAGTAACGATGAAAGAACGATAAAAATAATGATTATGGATTTGATAGCAACGCGGGTTATCCACCAAAAATCCACCAAATGGTCCAATTTATCCACCAAAAATCATGTCAAAGTAGCAATATGAAACGAAATATCGTCATAACATTGCACTAATTCCTATTTCTACCTCCTTCCTTCCACTATCCTATGGCTAGAGAATTAGCAGTCGTACCCCAGTACACTACTTTAATTTTCAAACCTAAATATTCACTCCTTTTTTTACATTTTGCTATCATTCCCGTACTTCTACCAACCATTTAATTAGAATTAAAAAAAAAATAATAAGCTTCATGATTGCAGATTAATTAAAAAGAAGGATGATTTTTTCTCACATTGGTTGTTGCAATAATTCATATCATCAAAATTAGTTTCGAAATGTTGCTCAATGGGTTAGCCACTGATGCACCTACCCTACTCATTCGCTATATATATTCCTCCATCTCAACATGTTAAAATTATCATATTCAGCTAAATATTGATTACTTCTAGTCTTAAAAAGTTCGTTATGATAGCGTTACAATTAATACATATATTTTTTTACACACAGCACAGTTATTCTATAATAGCATTTCCTATTCTAGGGGAAAAAGTATTTTCAGCAATTCTGTTTTACTTATTTTAGATGTGATTAACGAGCCTACTGAAAAGATGTAATAAATAAAAAACTTGACTAACAGCAGTTTCTTAAAAAATAATACCTATTACACTTTTGAAAATGGTACTGAAAGCGCTATCTCGATGATTCAGCGGAATGCATGCATTACCTTGTGGATAATACCGTTAATTACATCATTTCTCATATATGTAGCCCTTTTGCAAAGAAGAAAAAGGCATTTGCGTGAAATATTTTCTTTAATTAAAAATTGAATTGGTAATCCTAATTAATTTTTATTATAAGGTTGTTAACTTTAAAAAGTAGAGTAAGAAACGGCGTTAAAAACAATTTAAAACTGGATTTCTATTTATTCCTCCGCCAAAGCTCAAGAGTAAAACTAATATGTATATAATAGGTCATTTTAGACCCTTGTCCAATTTACCTTAATAATATTGTCTTATTTGTACCTGTATTCACTATTAAACGTCAGCTTTATAGAATAAGAGGTACTCCTCTTTGAATAATAAATGTTACCTTTTACACAACTAGTTTCAAACTCCTCAAGTATCCTTCAGAAAGAACTCAGCAGAGGAAAATTTTAATAGAATATAAAGCTCGGATACTCTCGCCTTAAGTCAAGAATTTCTCGTCTTTACACAACC